TTCAGTTATTAAATTTACACGTAATTTAAATCCATCGAAAGATATTTGCTCACCGACATCTATGTACGGACACTTTATATATATATATATATATATATATATGCGAATATGAATTTATAGTTCTCATTTTTTCTTCATTCTGTATTCATCGAATGTGCTCGTTTACCTTATTACTTCCACAGGACGTGCGAATATTTCTTCTTCAATTGACGTGCGATTTCTCGTGTAAATATATATATGTATATTTACAAATATATATATATATATATATATTTACAAATATATATATATATTATACAAATATATATATATATATATATATATATATATTACTTATGTACTCACTTACGTTAACCTCTACCCCATTGAACGCGCGAGGATTCCCTTCGACGAGATACAATGTATCACGTGACTCGAACGTTATTTCAGAAAGGATGAAGCCGATCAGAGATAAAAGAGAAAGAGAAAGAGAGAGAGAGAGAGAGAGAGAGAGAGAGAGATGTTGAAAGATAGATAGATAGAATGAAAGAAAGAGAAAGAGAGACAGAGAACTCTCGCATGCCTTGGGATCAACGATTTCTGGATGGTACCGTTTTTCTTCGTAAATTTAAAAAAAAAGTATAATATATCAATCGAATTGGAGAAACCGTTTTATCGATGAACGGTTTTATTTAAAAGGAAAAAAGAAAAATGAAAAATTCAGAAAAAGAAAAATAGAAGAAGAAATAAATCAATCAATAACGAAAGAGAAAGAAAAAAGAAAAAAAACGACGACGACGACGAGGATGACGACGACGACAACGACGACGATGACAATGACAATGACGATAATTATAATAATAATATTAATAAACGAAAAAAGGAAAAAAGAGGAAATAAAAAACATATGTATAATTTATGAACGGGCCACCATTGCGTACAATCTTTGATCCTGTTTGTTGTTATAATTGTTGCCAAATAAATAATCTACTTAGAATCTGCGACGTTGATGAAAGAAAATGTCGCCCCTCCCTCCCTCCCCCACCCGGCCCCCACGCAATTATCGTATTTTCCAATCGGTCGGCATTTATCATAACGTTGCTATTTTTTCCATGAAGAAAAGAATGAACGCGATGCGCAGCGCGAGAGAAATAAAGAAAGAAAAAAATAAAAAAAAAAGAGAGAGAGAGAGAGAGAGAGAGAGAGAAAGAAAAAGAAAACGATCTTGCGCCTATCGAGACTGCGCTGTAATTGAATTGACATTCTCGATGTAAACTCTGTATGTTATCGAAATATAGCATTACACTTTTAAGTATACACCTTGTATTAAATATTTCTTTACTATCGAAAAGTTCTTTTTTTTTTTCTTTTCTAACTCATTTCCCTTTCAATTCCCTTTTCATTCATTCCTATCGATATTAATTATTACGTTTAGAGTTCTTTTTTTTTTTTCTATTATTAAGTGACATCATATTTCAATGTACTATAAACTACGTTTGATTATTTCTTGTATTTACGATATTTCATATGATAAACTATATTTACATTTGCGTGCATCCGTCGCGTATATGTATGTGTACGTTCACTTTTATATATACGTTCATTTTTATATATATTATTTATAATATGATTCGTAATAAAATTGAAAGGTTCGAATTTTAATATTCTAATTTTATTTTATTTTATTACTTTAATCTACAACGATAAAAGTTTTATGTAATAATATATATTATATGTATACGTATATATATATATATATATATATATATATATATATATATATATAATCGTACTTCTCGTGATATTTTTTTTTTTTTTTTTTTTTTTTTTTTTTTTAGATATAAATACATATTTTTTCTTTTTTTCCTCATTCACTTTATTTTTCTTCTATATGTGTATGCCATTATGATATTTATGACGTAGATATTATTCTGAAAAGTTTCGATAAGATTATGTGCAAAGCAGGACGAGTATCAATTTATTATAAAATATTACGTTATGTCTTATGCGATACAAAAGAGATGCGAATTAGTAATTAAAATCGTACGAGAAATGTAATTTTAATAAGTTCTTTTAATTAAATGTAATACTCGTTTTCTTTCTTTTTTTTTTTCTTTTTTAGAACGTGTCGTAATAACTCATCGTATAATATGACAACTGACCTTCATACGCTTCAATATGAATTATAATCTATATCTCATATCAATAATCATAAAAAGAAAAAATAAAGAACTATTATATCGCGGATTGTATCGCATTTTTTTCAATAAACCTCTACTACGATTCTTTTTGTATCTAATTGAGATAATTATCATGATATCATCAAGCAAAACATTTAAAAATAAAAAAAAAATTAATAATTCATTTCCTTCTATTATTTATTCAGAATAAATTCCGAGAAGTTTTACACAATTAATGATTGTATATTCCATTTATTTATTAATTATCTCATTCATAGAATATCTGTTGTTTTTATTATTGGCACATGTTAGAAACGTTATTATATTAAAATTTCATTAGATGCTCGATAAAGAAGATTTTCAAAAGATCTAAATGCTATTGTTATGACATAGTCAATTTTTATGATTAATTCATCAAAAAGAATATATTTATCTTTTCCAGCATTATAAATTTATATCTAGATATTTACAATGTTATTTCTTCTTGTCCTATGAAAATTAATTAATTGAAATAATTTACAAATTCAGATGTAAGAATTTTTCATAAGTAAAATTTATTTAAAAATGATAATATTTTATGATTAGATAAATGTAACATTAATTATTAAAATGCTTTTAATGAATTCAAGGAAATAAATGGTTATAATCTTATAAGTTCACAAGATGGCAGTACGATCGATAATATCTTGATTTCACCAATATAAAATTGTAACCTTTTGATATCAATAAAAAATATAACTATCAGTGATATTGTCGTTTGAGACAAATAAATTGTAGAATTAATCATATTAAAAAAATTTCATTTTCGTCTTTATTGAATTAACAATTATGGAAGATACAACAGGAAAGGTAAATATGACTTCTTGTAATACAATAATTAATTTTTATTTTGATTTGTAAATATTTAAAGGTTATTATTTACTTATACCAATTATTTATTATAATCAATCAAATTTCATTAAAACTATGAATATATCGTATTTAATTAATAATATTCAAATAAAATAAATTATGTCTCGAAGATTATTAAATGCAAAGCAGCAATTGCATGGAAAGAAAAGCAACCATTATCCATTGAAGAGATTGAAGTATCACCACCAAAAGCACATGAAGTACGCATTAAAATAATAGCCACTGCTTTGTGTCATACCGATGCATATACTTTAAGTGGATTAGATTCCGAAGGTATATTTCCATGTATCCTTGGACATGAAGGTAGTGGTATCGTTGAGAGTGTTGGAGAAGGTGTAACTGAATTTAAAAAAGGTATTTATTTCGATAAACATTTAATCATACATTATACATTATAGCTCATATATTCTTTCTATATAATATGAAATGAAATATTTGCAGGTGATCATGTTATACCTCTTTACATACCGCAATGTAAAGAATGTAAGTTTTGTAAATCATCTAAAACAAATCTATGTAGTAAAATTCGTGCTACTCAAGGTAAAGGTTTAATGCCTGATAATACATCTCGTTTTACATGCAAAGGACAATCGATTGCTCATTTTATGGGTTGTTCAACATTTTCTGAATATACTGTGGTATCAGATATATCTCTTGCAAAGGTAATATTCTTTATATTTTTAATTATATTATATTAATTTTATATATGAATGTATATGATTCTATTAGGTTGGAAACTATGAAACGGGCGTTTTTGTTTAGTTTTTTTTCTCATTCAACACCCGTTTCATAGTTTCCAATATAATACTTATATTATATTGGAAACTATGAAACGAGCGTTTTTGTTTAGTTTTTTTATCATTCAACGGCCGTTTCATAGTTTCCAACCTAATATTATTAATATTTTTTTAGATTGACAGTAATGCGCCATTGGAAAAAGTATGTTTATTAGGATGTGGTATACCTACTGGATATGGAGCTGTGCTTAATACTGCCAAAATAGAACCTGGAAGTACATGTGCCATTTGGGGTCTTGGTACTGTTGGATTAGCAGCGATATTTGGCTGCAAAACTGCTGGAGCCTCACGTATCATTGGAATAGATGTTAATTCTTCTAAATTTGAATTAGGTTCATTATATTTTTTTTTTTATACGCTTTTTATTAAAATTATCGTTTCTATTTATTTAAATAATTTATTACATTTAAGCTAAAACATTTGGATGTACCGAATTAATCAATCCTAAAGATTATGATAAACCTATTCAAGAAGTTTTGATAGAACTAACTGACGGTGGTCTTGATTATACATTTGTTTGCGTTGGAAATGTCCAAACTATGGTGAGTGTAAATTAATGTTCATAAATATTATATATTATTCAATATAATTTCTTATAACATTGTTATTATAGCGTGCTGCTTTAGAATCTTGCCATAAAGGATGGGGCATGTCTGTGATCATTGGTGTAGCTCCTGCTGGTGAAGAAATTAGTACTAGACCATTTCAGTTAGTAACTGGACGTGTGTGGACAGGTTCTGCCTTTGGTGATTGGAAATCTAAAGAAAGTGTCCCTAAGCTGGTGGACGAGTACATGTCTAAGAAATTACTTATCGATGAATTTATTACTCATAATTTACCATTTGAGAAAATTAATGAAGCTTTCGATCTCATGCACTCTGGAACTTGGTAAGTTTATAAAATATTTATCTGAAGCAATAGATAAGAGATTTTAATGACTTTATAATTAAATTTGAAATTATTTATCTTTCAGCTTAAGAGCAGTTCTCAAATATTGAAAGTAAATATACGTATATTTTCTTTTTTTTTCTTTTTCTTTATGGCTTATATATATTGAATAATAATTATTAAAAATTATTTTTCCATAAAGGTTTATAAGAATTTTATAAATACACATAATATATTTCATTAATATTTGTAGTTGAACTTTAATGGTTTTTCTACCATACCTCTCTCCTGTTACGCTTTCAAAAGAATTGTTATTAAAAGAAATAGGTATCGCCAATGAAAGATAACGAATTTCTACAACAATCTTTATTCATAAAGAATTCTTACATTCACATTTACAATACTAACCAAGTGAGATATTATTTATGGTAGCTTCGAAAAGAAGTAAAAATTCTTTACGCTTCGATTAGAGGTGCATACCTTAGAAAAATCATCATGGCAATAAGGTCATTTACGGATGATTTTTTTTTTCTTTTTTTCTTTTTTCTCTTTTCTTTTCTTTTCTCTTTTTTTTCTTTTTTTTTTTTTCTTTTTCATTGTATATAATCAGGTATATACAATAATGCAAGACTCCAGTAAAACTATATATTCACGTTCCCTTTTACGTTAATATTAATTGATCTAGGTCGATAGTACAATAATTGAGGCGGAATGTAAGTTGCGCATAATAGCAGGAAAGAAGAGTAATTCATTAGTTCATTTTGTGGACGATAATGTCTTAATCGATCGAATGGTGTTTTTATTTATTTATAATATATGTGTCAATGTAATTGAAATTTTCTTGATTCAAGAGACAACACGACGCCATGTTCATTAAGAGACAGCAAATATTTTCAAATGTATTTGAATTTAACAAATAATCAAATCAAATACAAAGAATTATAATTATATCTTGTAGTATATTACATTTTTAATCGGTGTCATATTGCAATTGCAGATACTTTATAAGCGACAATTATAAATAAATCAATATTAATACTTAATGTGAATATAATTTATAATTTAATTATACAACCAAAGTAAATATATTTATACGAAAAATCTTGATAAGATGATAATATATAAGAGACAACTAGAGTGAAAAAAGAAGAAAAAGAAGAAGAAGAAGAAAAAGAAGAAGAAAAAAGTAAAAAGTATATAAACACTTGCTTTTTAATAAATATGGCGAGTACAGAAGTTCTCTCATTAAATTGCCCTTTAGCAGGAATGTTATATCAGTAGAGTGAAATGCTCTTCTAGGCTTTATAAACTTAATTATTACGTCCGTTTCTAAATAGGACACGTGTTTTAGTTGCATTGGCTATTTTACTACGTAAATTGCCTTCTAAAATACTAGGGGGCATATTCACAATAGTTCTCACACCGATATTTTCCTTCTACAGATAATTATATATGTTATTATATTCTATATATCTATTGGTATACAATACGTTCTTTAAGTAAAAGTTTTTTAAGTAAAAATGCTTATAATTACAGTGAATGCAGATGAATAATCACGACGTTAAATACTGCCACCCTTCTATTGTTTCCTATTGGAAATAAAATAATATTTCTCGATTGCACCACCGTTTGTCTAATGCTTCTCTTAACTGTTACATATAAGATGTATGTTCCTAAAGCATGTATTTACATTTACAATCTCACCCAAAACGTTTACAATGAAACGTAAAATAATTTATTCGAAATTACTGCTGGCGTATGCTTGTGCTCTCCTTATAAGTTACAATGTTTCTAATACACGTCGTACGATTAAACAATGTCATATTATATTAAACGGAATGATACATTTATTCCGTCATAATAAATAAGGCGTGCTAATAATATCTTTGACATTTCATCGTCGTGATTAAACCACATGATAAATATATATGTAATTAGCGAATATGAAATAGGTCGTTTTGTTTTCTTGTTACTTGCTGTTGTTACTGTTGTTACTGTAGTTACTGTTGGTTTTATTTTTGTCGTGTTCTTTCTTTTTTTCTTTTCTTTTTCTTTTTCTTTTTTTATTTTTTTTTTGTTGTTATTTGCTATTTGTTATTTGTTATTCTCTGCTTTTTTTTCTTTTTTTTCTGTAATATCTTACATTTAATTTCATAACTCAAGATGGCCACGAGAGAAAAGAAATAATCTAAGGCCTATTACGCCAGTGTTAAAAGTAAACGAAATAAAACAATAATGATACTGATAATAATATTATTAATAATAGTAATAATAATAGTAATAATAATAATAATAATAATAATAATAATAACAATAATAATAAATAAGCGGCGAGAGGACGAATATCTATTTTTATTTATTTCTTTATCGACACGTTTTATTATTATTATCATCTTTAAGATAACTAATTAAGCAAAACTATTCGCGCGTGCATCGGCTAAATATTCTTTCTTATTTTATAATAGTGCTAGATAAATTATCCCACACGACCACTATCGCCATATTTTTCTTCCCTTCGGATTTAATATTCTAACTTTCTCTCTGAGCCAACTTGATCTTCTACATTTATCTGTATTATCGTAAGTCATAGACAGTATTATTATGTTATAGACGTTATATTATTATTATTATTATTATTATTATTATTATTATTAATATTATTATTATTATTATTATTATTATTACTATTATTATTATTATTATTATTATTATTATTATTACTATTATTATTATTATTATTATTATTATAATGTCGTTAAGCTTGCGGTTAGAAATCATATTTATATACTTATATATATATTTATTTATATATATATATATATATATATGTATGTATATATAGCGTGTTTTCTTTCATACTTTCTCGTCGAATGGTATCTTCCATATCTAATGCTTCTTTCGTCCTTTTTTTTTTCCTTTTTTCTTCTAACGCCCACGTTACAGTGGGAATTTATCCGGCTAACAAAATGAAGAATTGTCTTCTTTTATCGGTACTCTCACATCCTGTTTTTTCCCCCATCTTTTATCGCTCATATTCTTTATCAATTTTTTTTTTCTTCTATTTTTCTCTCCCTCTTCAACTTCGACCTTCGCATTAACAAATTCCACGATTCTATATCTACTTACAGACGAATTGTGCACGGCGATGTAATTTATTTATTTATTTATTTATTTATTTATTTATTTGTTTATTTGTTTATTTATTTATTTATTTTCTTTTTTCAAAGGATCAGATAAAGACGACACACAGATCGACGTTCCTTTTCTAATAGATTTCATTAACGTACAAGCCAATTCGCATTGCGACGATGAGAATCTACATTGTATTGTATATTGCACAAATGACGTAAGATATCTAATTCTAACTAATTGTAGTAGTATCGCATTAGAGGAAAAGGCGTTGTTGTTGTTGTTGTTGTTGTTGTTGTTGTTGTTGTTGTTGTTATTGTTTGTTGTTTGTTGTTGTTTGTTGTATTTGCAAGAAACATGAGTTTCGTGAGGATTTAAAGGATAAGAGAGAAAGAGAGATAGACAGATAGATATATAAAATGAAAGACAAATAGTAGTAATAATAATAATAATAATGATAATAATAATAATAATAATAATAATAATAACAACAATAATAATAACAATAACAATAATAATAATAATGATAATAATCTCTTTCTACTTTTAGTGAATCATTGTCGTAGAACGAATCAAATAGCTAACAAGGTGCTTCTCTCATTGCTTTCTAATTCCATTTTGGCTCGCCTTCATTATTCAGATTATAAACTGAGCCTTTTTTCTTTTTTTTCACTTTTTCTTCTTCTCCCTCTCTCTCTCTCTCTCTCCCTCCGTCTCTCTTCTCTCTCTCTCTCTCTCTCTCTCTCTCTCGTTCTCCTTTCCTCTCTTTTTCTCTTTTAACGATGCCCTCAATCTTGAGGTCGATGGACGAATAGACGGGCAACACAATCCGTAAGAAAGGAATTACTCGTGCGATTATAAAATACTACAAACATCACGTTTTTAAGGTGTTGCTCCCTTTGCTCTGCTCCCTCCGCCTCCCCTTCATCGTTACAACATGCCGTTGTTTTTTTGCTCAGCCTACTTATTCATCTTGTTTATCTCTTTTTGTTTATCCTGGACCGATTGAATCGATATATCTAAAAATCTAATGGCTGATCGGCTGAACCTTCAAGATCCTGGGTTGAATCTGTACCACCATCTTCGTCGTCGTCGAGATCGACGCTATTCGTTTTCAAACCACCATTGCTGATCTTGTTCACGATTGTATCTAAAATATATATAATATATATATATATATATGTACATAATATATCAAAATCAATATAGAGAATTTTTCTTTCCTTTTTATTTTCTTCTTCTTTTTCTTTCATATTAATTCTAATTGTGCATACTTGAAAATAATTTCAAGTTATCCATTTGGGATTACGCCACAATCCCCGAGACACTTTAAACAGCTGTCATTTATACAGAATGAATAATTTTTATTCAAAAAAAAAAAAAAATACTGTATATTTTTCGAAGCCTCGAAAAATAATAATCAGTAAGTTTGAAAACTTGGCATTTCCAATTCTGTCATTATAAAAAAAAAAAAAAAAAAACCATAAATCATGCAATACGGAAAATGTTTTAATTGAGCTGAAAGTTGGTCTGGGATGTTTTACAATTAACAGGCACAATTAGAATTAAATTGATTTAACGTACAAAAGATTATTAATTCAATGAAGAAATGCTTTTTGATAGATAAAATATACATATAAAAAAAAAATATATATATATATATACATACATACGTGTTTATGTACATTCGTCATGTACTCACCACAATCAGGTTTTGTACCACGAGTTCTAGTACCAGCAAATTCAACGCCGTGCGGATCAACGCACCAACAAAGCCCAAGTCCTCGATGACATTGAGTGCTTCGATAATATCCTCTGGAATCACATGCCGGTGCTACTTCCAATGGCGATCGTCTACGTACTGCAGCGCAAGGTCGTTCGGCCTTTGCGAAACAACCGCACCATTCCATACCGCTCACAAAAATATCACTATAAACATAATAATTGAAAATATCCCATTAAATGTATGTATTTATATAGATACATATACACATACATACATGTAATCTACATATTTCGTTTAATTAAATCGATCGCTTTGATTTCTACATATACATATGTATGCGTATTTGTTATTATCCTTTTTTCCACGTTCAATCAAAAACATTTTCATTT